CATGAAATTTGAACATGGGTGGTTGATGGTTAATTATATTTTTGGAAAAGTTATGCACTTGTGTTTTACTTGCTATTACTATGAGACTATGACATTTAATTTCTGTAATGAATATTATAAAATGGTAAACAGTTTCATCTTCGTCGACGAGTTTTACCTGTACAATGACAGGAATGCATTTTGTAGCCATCGTAATTCATTTTAGTTTCAACCGAACCTCATACTTATGAGCCAAGCAATTCTCTACAATTATCGAAATATAACGTATATCAATTATAAAAGGCCATTAGTTTCAAGGTCATCTGAGTACAGTACTGTCATCTTTTGCTCAATGATATCGAACTGGCTCTTCCAATTAAAGAGGAACGGACTAGTACAGCATTTCTTTGCCATCGTTGGAAGGTCGCAGACACTTGACAAGTTCGGCGACCTCGAACATGGAACACTCCATGTGCAAGTCTCAGCAGTGCCATGCCGCAGCAGCCCAACGATTCGACAAGGCCGTCGTGGGACGAAGAAGTGAGGGACATGGAGGATTCGTTGTCCGTCACAAACGCACACACATCACGAAGAAAGAAAACATCGTCCTGGGAGAAGGCGCACTCGTGACGGGCGGTGCGAGCGGCTTGCTCAGCATCGTGGCCATGACGCTGTTAGCCCAGCACGGCGCGATCGGGTTGGTGTACTATACGCGAGCGTACCAAACGGCAACGTCTAGCCACGTGGTCCTCAAGGATAATTTTGGCGTGCTCGGCGACCGAGTGCATGTGTTTGCCTACCGTCCGTCGCAAGCCATGGGCCATCCTCGAGTGATGCGGCTACTGCGTGGCCCTCGTTCTGCTTGCCTCGCTCGATCAAGGGCGCGCTCACACTGCTCCAAGTCGACGGAGATGATGTCCTACAGCACAGTAGGCACCAAATTTACCACGTTGGGCATCGTCATGGCTGTGTGTGAGTCGGACGCACTCGTTTGCAATTCATGCAGCGAGGAGGAGGAGGGGCTCCAGTGATGTACGCTGTGCGGTCGCTGGTGGAGAATATCCGCTGTGCGCTGGTTCGCCTCCTGCTCAACAGTCGCAGGTGTCGAGTACTCGTGGTCGTTCGACATCACGTGTCCGTGGTGTACTTGGCCCTACGTATCCCGTGCGTGCGAGTGGCAAGTTGGGGCTCGTCGAACAAGACCGAGTCGGCCCCTTTGAACGGGTGGCCATCCAAATGTGGCAGCTCGCGCAAAAGAAACAAGCGCTGTGGTCGTCCAGGCGTTCAATTCCTCTCGACCGTATTGCACAAGTTCGTGTTGACTGCAGAGGGGGGAGGCTGCGTTTGGTAGAAACATCGGTTTTGTTGCGTTTTCGATCCCCGGCGTCCGCGGCACGTCGCAGCCATGACAGTCTCTCCACTCCCCGTGCGGAACCCGGATATCAAGGGCAGCGTACGAAACGAAGGCGTCCACGAAGTCAAAGAGCAGTGTAAGCACACGAAGAAGGAAGCATAGAAACAACACAAACATCGGAGATCGCCAACCGCCCCAGATCAAGCGGGTGTGTCCTGTCGGCGCGTCAGTTGGAACGAGTCCTTCCAATCGTATGAACGAGCCTCTCGCGACAGTCGCCCAGTTGGCTTCGACTGTCAGGCACAGTTGACCACGTCGTGGTCCTTTTCGTTGGCGTGCAGTACCTCAGGTGGTGTGCCCCTGCGCCAGGGCATCGTCCAACATGTAGGAAAACGTCAAATCCCAATAAATTACTACGGTGGTACACGAGAGGACGTGCCTTCACAGCGAACGTAGAAAATCCACCAGATCGTTGGTCCACAGGACGTCCATGGCAAGTTTGGACGCGATGGGGGGTCGGGACGGCAGGGCCAGGGGCTCCATGGGGGCGATCGCCCATTCCCAGTCGAGTTCGTCCCAGTCGTCTGTCAAGAACGTCTCGGCCAAGACGACGCTACTCGGCACGTTGGTCGGATCTCCACTGCCCACGTCGTCCGACGTCAAACTGCCGCACGAGATGGGACTGGACGGGCGTCGGTCCAGCTTGGACTTCTTGGATTCGCGGACGATGCCAGCTTCGCGGCCGTGGCGGCAACAAAGGCCGGCGCACCGGGCATGCGCGGTGCACCCGTCGACTTTGCACTTGCGGCCACCACCGTGCCGAACGCACTTCTGCTGAAACTGCGCAGGTTTTGTGCAGCCTTCGTGAATGCACTTCTTGTTCAGATTGCGCGCCCCGTGCTTGTAGCACACGTTGGCGAGGCGGGCGCTGAGGTTGCATCCGTCGACGAAGCACTTCTTTTTGCCGCCGTGGCGCGCACACAACGACCGCGCGTACGCTTGGTTGGTGCAGTTGGCCACCAGACATCGCCCACGGTTCCGGTGAAATGTGCACTTCCATGAATCGGCGACCGCGGGTTTGCCACACCCGTTGAAAAAACACGTCTTGATTGGGACTGGAAGTGCGAGGGATGCCGCCATGGATGTATCGTGAGGTCGATGCCAAATTGGAAAATGCAAACGGCATGGGCCTGTCGTGGACGATTCGTTGGGTCTACTGTAGGATGGCCTACAAATTTGAACCTTGGCGACGGACGTCCCGTCAGAGCCGGGGGCGCGCGTCCAAGAGACAACCGTTTGATGCATGCGCGTCGGATCTGGGCAAATTTTATACCCAACACAGCCGGTGTTGCCTGCGCGGCGCGTCCCGCCGTCAGAATATCACTGTCCCAGCAGCAGAATCCACCACGTCACGTCGTCGGTGCTGGTGGGGGGCGGCGTCTTGGCGTGGCAGCGCAATCGCCACGGACTGATGTGAGTAGCGCAGGTGTCCATGTGGCAGGTCATGCCACAAAGGGTACTGCAAAGCGGCGACGCCATCGCGCTCCTTACCTAGTTAGCCATCGCGAAACAATCTGTTCATGATGTGGGGGATCGATCTCTTGGATGACGTGTGTGCTGAAACATGCACGGTCGTACCTGCGCCTACGCGTTGCCGACCGGTCGCTGGGATCCGGTCCGAGGCAAGAGACAACTCTGTGAAAGCGTTGCTGGACCAGATATGTCGGCGACCCGTGGTCCTCGCAGGTCCAGCCGTCGAAATGGATGTGAACCCGTCAAGCTCCACGCGCCACGAAGTCCACTATGTTTGCTGGCATGAAGGAATGGCGTCGCATACCCTGTGAAATCTCGGGTGCACATGGAGTTGCCATGCCGGGCCATTCGTGACCATCCATTTTAGCCCAAGTACCCGAGTCGTTGGATGAAGGAATCGATGCAGGTCAGACTATATCGTGGTGCAAGATCAGGACGGTGGTCCCGATCGACTGCGCGTGGCACGGCGATCGTCGAGAGTCGACTGTCCTCCCAACTCCAGGGCAGCTGACTCAGCGGTCGTGCCACCTCCAGGTTCGATACCACGCTGGACAAGATCCGATTGTCCCTTGATCGACTGAGATGGTCCCCAGAAGAGTAGTGTAGCGACGTGCCTTGTACAACGCGTGCACACCCACCGCACGCGCGGTCCTTCTGTTTGTTTGTCAAGGACGAGCCTCAGGTTACCACCGGGACGCTTGGACGTGCTGCCTCCGTATGGAATAGGACGTAGATGGTGAGGCGGTATTTCCAACTTACGACGACCTCAAAATCAAACCGCAAGAGAGACGAGGATGGAGGCTGGTGTCTACACCTCGTGGACCCTCCCCCCTCGACATGATGCACTGCAGGATTGGAAGCGTTCACGCCGACGACGGCGTTCGAGACGCGGAAGGGAAGTGGTGTGATGCATCAACATGAAACATCACTGTACCGCGACGGGCGGACAACATCTTGCCGTCGCGCGCGTGGATGGTGGGGGCCGGGCCGGTGGTGGAATGCATGATCGATGGTGCGGATGGCTTCCCCAGACGATATCGTTGGACATGCACGGGGTACACATTTCGCCTGGCGAGGCGTGTAGAGCATGGTGTCCGATGGCACGGCGTGCGATTGCTGCCATGGTTTCGACGATGGATGAGTGAACTAGCGACCTTCGGTCGCAGTACCGGTAGCTGCCTTCAATCGTCTGTCGGGCGCTCGTTCGACAACAACCGACGGTAGTACGGTGAGGACCACATGTCGACGACAGGCAGGGTAGCGACGCCAACATGACGCGGTCCACCACACGGAGGGATTTCTAGATAGGTGTGGGTGACAAACTTGAAATATTGAAGAAGGCCTGCCCTCGTCCGTTCGTCGGACGTTCGAAGGAGGGGTGGCAGCGTTCGTCGACCATGCAACCCCTCCGCAAGAAATTCTAGCTGCTGGAGCCTTGTGACGCATACATCGCCCGTGCGTGAGCAACCCCGTCCAACTCGTTGGCCACCAACCCAACGACGGACAAACACACAATGAAGAATGTCGTACACATAGAGAGAATCGTATGACAAAATCACTGAATCACGCAGCACGACTTAGGGGCGTTTCGAGGCACCGATCGTGACTTGGACGAGTCGAATGTGGCTTCAACTGGTGGCGGCGACGACGACGCCGCTAGAGACGCTACTGATTGTGTTCCAGACGACTTGATTTTTCTTGGCACGGACGCAATCGACGTTGCAACAGCTTCCCTTGTAGCAGCAGCACCTGAACCCATCTCCATTGCAACCGCACTCTTCTCAAGCATCGGCGCGGCGGCAAGACTTGTAACAACACGGCCACCGAGCAAACTGTCTTTCAATTCACCGGGAACATGCGCCACGGATGACACTGGAGAAAACGACGAAGCATTTGCAGTCCGAGAAGAATACAGAAAAGTCGGCTTGCCCTTGAGCGGCAGCGTCTTCATGTACTCGATGAACGCCGTCTGGTTGTTCTCCTTGGCCACGTCCATCGCGTCCTTGCCGTCGTGGTA